GACCTTTTCTCACAGATCCTGTAGTTTTCTCTCTTTGTCTTTGATCAACATTGTGCATTCTACATAAAATCCCTGGATTGCCAGGCTTACTTCCAGAAGAAATTTCCAGAGAGTCACAAGTTGTGAAATTCAACATTTAATAACGTTAGGCTTTCAAAAATATCTCAGTTTGGTAGCATTGAAGTTTTTGTTGTATCCTGAGAAGGACCACCTTCTTCAGTCTCAAGACATAAATATGATATTTTTCTTTAAGAAAATATTCCGTTTTATTTCGTAAAGATTCATAGATACTAAAACAGTATATGTTTTACTCTAAACTAAATCAGTTCTAATATTTGTTTCTCTTAAACTCCCATAAAAACAGTATTTTCAGGCAATAATGTTCATTTTTATCAAATCTCTTCATAAGAAGACTTGTCAAATGTAAAAGTGTCAATTTTGAAATTGCCAGTTACCAGGTAAAATTGAAAATAATTTTAATTGTAGTCCTTAAATTACAATGTAGTCCTTAAAAATTCTTGGCCAATCAGGTAACAGAACCTGATTGGCCAAGAATTTTTAAAAAGAATAGGTCAGACCAATTTGTTAACAGCTACAGGAAAATGAGTTAATTTATATTTCCTCTGTGTGTGTGATTTTTTTTTTATTTAATGGGATGGCAATTTCAAAATTTTCTTTATTTCATTGTCAAATTTTAAATTTATTCTTTAGGGAAAAAATACAACTCACTGGGATTAATTAATACTAATTTCCTCATTCTTCAGTCAAATAAAGTAGATGATAGAAAAAATTTTAATTTTTTTATCAAATTTGACAAAAAACTTTATTAATTTGATAATATTGATAATATTTATGTTCCTTTGCAAAGACTTCAAGAGGATTTCTTTATCATAAAAATAAAAGATCAAAACTTTTTTTCTTAAGAAATTATGCCACTTAATATATTTTGCAAGATTTTTTTCTAAGTTTACTTGTGAAATGTGAACATCTCACAAAAGATAATAAGCTAAATAGTTACTTATAGTCATGCTTTACACTTTTAAATTTCAGTTTTATACAAGATTTTCCCACTCCTTTATAAATTATATATACAAATTTTATCTTGTAAAATATTTCTAAAATTCCTAAGAGAACTTGTGAATTTAGTAAAGTTTTTTGACTTAACTGAACAGTATTTCCATTATATTGACTTTTTTGCCATTATATAAAGAATATTCTTGAGAAATTTCACTTTTAAAATTAAAACAATAAGACACACACACACACATATATATATATATATAGTTAAAACAATAAGACATATATATATATGACATTTTTATGTATATACATTCTCTTTATGGATACAAATATTTAAGTAAATGCTCTGTTTATAATATACAGTATTAAACAACATTTACTGGCCTGAATGTCTGAGAAATTTTCACAGAAAATATTTGTTCTCCGACAGAATATTTTCTTTGAAAATTTCTCAGACATTCAGGCCGGTAAATGTTGTTTAATATTGTTTATTATAAACAGAGCATTTACTTAAATATTTGTATCTATAAAAAGAATGTATAAACATAAAAATGTCTTTAAAATAATTGTCGGACTTTGTCCATTTCATAATGTGTGACATACATATATATATATATATATATATATATATATATATATATATATATATATATATATATATATATATTATTGTTTTAATTTTAAAAGTGAAATTTTCAAGGATTTTTCTTTATATACTGGCAAACATTATTCTTTTCCAAAGATGATAATCAATGATCCCCACTTTTTTTAAAGAAAAAAAAAGAAACTTTTATTTTTTTTACATGTTAAGTCCTAAAGTCATGAAAATCCTAAAATGAAGAGGTGCCGGAAATTTCTTTGCCAGATCAAAAAGAATGACCTCAATCCATGAAACAAAAAATCCACATATTCACCCCTTAATCCAACATTTATTGTTTCTCAAATCTATTTGATCCTTCTAATAAATACATTTTAACACTTGGTCAGTGACATACTGAATTGGGGAAGTTGATTGGGTTGAAAACTTTTCAGCACCTTCTCATATATAACAAGTTATATTTATAATCAATTAGTTTGTATAAAAGTAAGGCATGAACGAGGAGGCATGGTGGAGTAATGAATAGTGGCTCAGATTGAGGAATCGAAGAGCTGAGTTCAAATTCCAGACAAATCCATTTCATTCATTTACATGCTAATACCTTTGGGAAAGGTATGAATCCTCTTCTTCTCACCCCCCCCCCACATCTATGGATAAATAGTAGGACAGACCGGGTTCTATAGCCTTGGATGGTAACTGGTCTACCGCAGAAAGAAATGGCAATCTACTGCGGGAAAAAATCTGCCTTGTCAGTTATGTATCGAAAGATACATGATCGCCTAAGCATGTATCATGCATGGTACATAACTGACTGAAGGCATGAAATTTCACAAAGAATTCTTAAGAGTTCCAATATTTGATAGTGTATAAAATTCCTCCAAAACAGCTCAGAAAATATCTCCCATGTCTTATACGAAAAAACAGTTTATCGCGTCAGCTAATATTTACCCAAACACTGTTAACTACCAGTACTTGCACTTAGCCCAACTTTATGATTAAATGTAAATAGGAAATGTCTTATATTCCATGGAAAGGTCGGGGTATCTAATATGCTATAAAATATGGTAATGAAGAAAAAATATATATTAGTCACTAATTTGCTCAATACCATTTATACTTGTGTATCAGCTGACTTCATTTATAGTGTAATCCCTGAAATTTTTTTGCATGAATTTTAACCCCTCTGGAAAAAAATGTGTATAGTGTAACCAGTAATATAAAAAGCATGAGTTTTAAACTCATCAGAAAAAATTACTTGTGTATAGTGCAACCCACTATTTTTGGCATCAAAATCTGATCATTAAAACTCATTCTATGCTTGAGTACATACGGTATTTTGTCTATTAGTTTTGAATTCTAATATCCGAAGCAGGATTTCTTCTGTTTCCTTTTCTGATAATTCAAACTAAACATTACATTTTTAAGATTTTGGTATTTAGAATTATAATTTGTTTGTAAAATTTAGTTAAATCAGACTCAGGCAATGGAGATAAATTATCTGTTGATTCCTAGATATGTTGTCTTTCTTTACTCTGTCTTTTAGGTTAAAGAAAAGATTTTGAAGGATAGGAATTCATATATAAATATATTCATAGCTCATATAATAAAACCCCTTGGAAATTTTAAAACAGTTTTAACGATATTCCTCTTTAATAAACCTTTTGTTAATTTATTCAGATTTCATTACATATCTAAACTTTGAATGTTACTCTAAATTTCCCCAGAACAAACAGTTTTTAACAACTCAAAACTAATATTTTTCATAAAAATATTTAAGTAAATTTAAATTGTTCTTATATGCTTAATTTAATTTTTGCCAGGTAATTCTTAAAAAAGCAAAGTTTGTTTTTTTTTCCAAAATTATTGGTCAAACAAGATTTTTCAAATTTTTTTTTTTTTTTTTTGTCGTATGAAAATAGAAAAGAAAAAAGTTTAAAGTTAATTTGAATGCTGACATTTAAAAAAAAAAAAACAAAAAAAAAAAACCCAAAGTGGAGTAGAATCCAGAATTTGGAATCTCATATTTTGGAGCAGAGTTCCAGACGGAAAGAAGCTTTGGTAAACTGAGTTCTTTATGCGGCACACAATTTTTATATATTTACTTATATAAATAAATTATCCATTTATTAAAGAAAAGAAATTGACAAACGCCACAGAAATGACATAATTTGCTATGTGATTTGTTCTACCCCCCATACCCCTCAACTTCCACTCAAACTCACTTTTCTCACACTCACACTCACTACTACTACTACTACTATTACTACTACAACTACTATTATACCTTTCTATTCTCTCGGACTTCATTTTTCTTACCTTTAAAGTAATAATTATTTTGTTTTACTTGTCCTCATATTGTGTATGCACTTTGAAAAACATTGAGGAACACTGTCTTCAAGATAACAAAAGACAAATTTAAGAAAAGAACCACAGAGTGCAAAACAGAAGAGTAATTCACCAAGATTGATCACAGGTAGAGATAATCCACATCATTTCTATCTTCATAAAGTTGTTCTGTTGAGAAGATGAAAAAAGTCATCTTCAAGTGTTTTACAAAATGCAGTTTTAACACTTCTCATGAAAATTTAATCTAAAATCTAAAAGACAAAAGTCAGTGTTCTTGAAAGCTTTTAGAACAAAATGCATATTTGGAATATGTGGCCAGGTAAATACCACAAAAAAAGAACGAACATTTGTTCATTTTCTGTCTGGAGTTTAAAGTAAAAGAGAAAGATGAAGACTGGCTTGGAAAACCCTCAAAAAATGATGCTGATATTGGCAATGATGATGATGATGATGATGATGATGATGATGACAACTGCAAAAGCAAGACAGAACATAATAGAGACTTTGAAGGTTTGGCTGAAAAATATACAGAAAATTCTTCTTTCTGGATGGAATGAAAGAAATTAAAATTAAGGAAAAAAAAAATGTATATATTCCAAGAAACGAAAAAAATGAACAGTTCTATTTTTTTTTTTTTTGGCTCAGCCATGAAAGACCATATAAGATTCATGGAATAACCTGCTACGAAGAGGGATATTTGACAGAATTCACTTCTTACCATTCCTCTCTCCTCATTTTCTCTCTCTTCCAACATCATTCTAATTCTCTTCCTCAGTTTCTTACCTGCTAATAACTAATCGAAGTTACTCAACTTTCTAATCTGCCTAACACTCATTCTCTCACTTTCTCTCTCTAGAACTTTTTAAACTTTCTTTTTTATCTTAAAGATTAATCTTTCTCACTTTCTCTTTCTCTCTGTTCTTCTATGTCCTTAAAAAAAAAATGACCTCTCCTTTCCCGCCTCCACTCCCCAAACTCCCTATTTGGTTGCTATCGCCACCCTGATAACCCTAATAATAATAATAACCGTAACGTTATGTTGCCTTACGTTTTGTCAGGCACGAATCCTTGTAGAAAACTCAAGTGCAACAAGTTCAAACGATGCAACATCACTCATGGGGTAGCGGAGTGTGTGTGTCCCACCTACTGTGAGCCGGTGCTGCGCCCTGTGTGTGGGAGTGACGGAATTACTTACGACAATGAATGCCAACTACAGAAAGATGCCTGCCAAAATGAACATCATGTCACAATAAAGCAGAGAGGACCATGTGGTAAGAAGACAAGAACAACATACAAGACAAAATAAAACCACAAAATTAACAAATACACACACATGCACATGTATGTATCCACAAACATACATACACACTCCCAAACATCCAAAAAAAAAAAAAATTCATTAACCCATGTGAATAAATATATATATATATATACATATATATCCTTTGTACATTACATCACCATCATTATTACTACTAGTGATTATAATAATTCAATTCCTTGAAAATTTTTCAGTGAAAATCAATGATAATTTTGTAGATAATTTTTTTTAGTTGTTTTCTTAAAATCTGTAATGATAATATTTCTGTGGTTCATTAAACTTGTTGATGTATATCTATATATATAAAAGAAAAAATGAACTTTTGATTTTCTTGAAATTGTTTTCTTTTTAACTATTTTGTCATACAACTTGATCAAATTTTCGAGACTGAGTAAAAATTTTATTTCATGTTTTAATTTACTAATATGTATTGTAAAGAAAAAAGACTTCATGTGTGATACAGTCATATATATATTTATATATATATATATATTTATATATCATTAAAAAAAACACAGATTACTAACACATTATTCTGTAGAAAACATTTTAACCAAACACTGCTGTCTTTAAAGTGGAAACCCAAAAACTTTCTACTACTACTACTGCTACTACTACTACTATTATTACTACTACTACTACTGCTGCTATATATGAAAAAAAAAACAGCCTCTCTTTCATCTTCTGCTTTTCTTGACAATACAAAATGGCGTCCTCTTCTGCTTTACATATCTCCTTTACTCACTCATTCCTGAACTCTCTACCAACCTACCTTTACTATTATTCCTAGTATTTACTCCTCATTCCAAGTACTTTTATAATTATTAGTATTATTCACCACCTCACCTCTTCCTTTTTGGACAACTCACATTGAAAAAGAAAGACTTATTTTCAAGATGTCTTCCAATCTTTGGAGAAGACATCTTTCTTTCTCTGTTCTTCTCTCTTTTCTTTTCTTTCTCTTTCTCTCCTAATCATTCTTCATTTTGTAAAAAAAATAACTTTTGTTTCTTGGAAAAATAGAAATTAAAAAGATATATGAAAAAATTTTTTAAAAAAATTATAATTACAAAGAGAAATCTATTTCTCAATCTCTTTTGCCATCTTTGTCTTTCATTTCTCTTTCTTTTCTAAAACTCACCAATCTATTTTTTCTTTCTATTCATTTTTTATCTTCATGCTTCTAAAACTAAAAAAAATCTAATCAGAAATATATATATTTTTTTGTTTGAAACATCTTTTATGCCCAACAACAGCAAACAGAAAAGAACGAACATTTAACTTGGCACACCACTCAATCACTTTTATTTCTTTCACACTTTTACATCTCTTAAACATAATCCCTTTCGAAAATCACTATCAAATTTTTTTTTCCTGTAGTTCTTCTCTTCTAACTCATAGAAATCTTAGAAATTTTCTGCTTCATCCTGTCTCCAACTCCATGCTCCAAATTCTACAATCTTGGTTTCTGAAATCTGCTACTCTGCTGCCTTGAAAAACCTTTTTTCTCTTTTTTTTTTCAATTATTCTTTTAATATAAAAAAAAAGAAAAGAAAAAAGATAATTTACTTTTCAACTATTTTTATTTCTTTCTCAGCTTTTTAACTTCCATAGTTATCTCACAACTTTAGCTCATCCTCTCATGGACCAAATGGGAAGAAAAATACATACATACATATATATATATATATATATATATATATATATATCTTTATAAAATTTTCTTTTTTAATTCAGTCGCTAAATTTTTTCATCCATCCTCTTTCTTCTCCACGTCTTCGTATTTTTTTTGCATCTTAATTTTTATATCTTACTCTAAAAACTATGTTCTTTCAACTCTCTTAAACTTTTTATCTTATTCTTATGATAACCCTTTTTAGAGTTCTTAGTCCCAATTTTTCAAGTTTCTCTTCATGCATAATAATTTTCCTTCTTTTAAATCTTTAAACACTTCAGAATATTTGAAACTCGGGTTCACATCAGTAAGTTTAATTCCATCTCAGTGTATAATGACATAACTAGCTAATTTTAAGGCAGTATTTTTGTTCCTTTATTTGTGATTGTTTCCAAACCACTGAGAGGTCTTTTAAATTGTTTCTTATTCTTACATTATTTACTCTCTTAATGGAATAATAATTGTTATTTCTCTGATAGAAAGTTTCATCATAACTGTTATTTATTGTAATTCTTATTTCTTTGCTAATAAGTATTATTCATCAAATAATGATCTCTTTTATTAATTGCTCAGTGTTAATTGTAATTAAAACATATATATATATATATATAATCAGCCAGTTTGCAATTTAAAAATTAACTTTTTATATAATTTGGGTTAGTTTTTAAACTATTTCTCTCACATTTCTAACTGGAATTTCCCTATATTCAAAAATACCAAAGATCGCAACTAATTTTGGAGAAGAAAAGATTCAACAAAAAGAGTTTATTTTCTTAAAAAAATATTTGAAAGAAACAAACTCATGATAGGTTATGATAATTTCAAATTATCAAAGCCATTTTGATTATTATTGTTTTTTTTTCATTTTCTGCCTCTTCTCTCCAGTTGCTTTGTCTTCGTCTAACAACCTTTTTTCAAACACTCTGCATTTCCTTCTTCTGCCATTCATACCTGATTCTGTTCCTTGAATATTCTGGGTTTTCGCTTCGATTAACACTTGAATTAACCGAAATATCTTTGTATATTTTGATGCTATTTGAATACGTTTGTATATATGATGAATTTTTGTTTTCAGTTTTGGATTACGATGTTATGCTTATTGACATTTTCTCTTACCAACAGGTTTTTTGTTTTCTCTTTTTTTTCCAAACAGATTATTTTTGTGAATATATTTGCCTGTTTTTCTTTATTCTATTTCTTTACTAATTTCTGTGAAAAGAATGTAAACATACATTCTAACATTAGCAAAACTTTTTTTTTTTTTACAGAAGGTAAAAAATGTATACATATCTAAAGCACATTGTTTACATTGTTTGGACCATATTTATCACAACATTTCAGCTGTTGTACACTCTGGCCTTCTTCAGGTGGTTGGAATGTTGAAATGAACCCTTTATTTTGCTCTGTGGAGTAGACTGTTCCACATGCCATGTCTAATAGATGTCAGTTATCAGTTATCTCCTGTTAATTCACCTCTCCAAGTTCTCCACTGCCTTAACCAAGTATTGAACTCACAACTCTTTGGATCCTGTCACTGGATCTAACCAATGCCTTTATCCACTGTGCTGTGTGTCCTTAAGGATGTCAACAAAGATGAGGACAACAGTCCGAATAATGTAAATAGTGTACATAATACCTCATCTCAGAAATATAGACAGATATATAAAGCAATATTTATATTCTTGGAGTGTGATGTCAAACTGTCAAAATAATACAGTAAATAATTGTTTATATTGTTTTAACTATAACAATAGGCTTATTAACCAAATCAAGAAATAATTCTAATAAATAATCAATAGCTTATATAAATGAATGTAGAAAAATCACGTGGTAGAGATAAACACTTAGTTGTGGAGCAAGCTAAGTGAACAATAATCCAACCTTTAGAAAGAGAGCTATTTATGTTGCCATAGAGCATCTCATTGTGCTAAAGTGGGATAGTCCATTGCTTGGGCTGTGATTGGCTGCTGGTACCTGAGTGGAGGTATTTCTATATAAATACCAGCTTGATTCAGCTGTTAGTTTGCAGGGTTTGTATTAAGTTACAACCTGCTTTATTTTTGTCTGCCAGCTGGATGCTAGCTGGGACCTTTACACCGGTAAGTGCTGTTTATTATTGTTATTCTACAATGAAGTCATTGTAAGAAATCCTGCTGTTGTATTCAAGAAATGCAAATGATTTTAAACTTTAAGTGTAGTACAGAGCTTCAGATATTAAAAAATGGTGATAGATCCTGAACTTAAAGGTTAAAAAAATCACTATAATCAAACATAAAAATAAGAGATTATTCGCTAATATACTACTCAAATTTAAAGAAAATATAACAAACTAAAAAATTTAGAAAGATACTGTTGTCCTTCAACTGGTGTGTATTCTGATATCATTCATGAGAAACTCTCTTCTTGATAATTTCCCCCTCAGCAAAGCAATAATGCAACTATGACACAAGGGGTTACAGAGAGTGAAAGAGAATAAGAAGACTTTATTGAGGAGTAAGGCAAAGCAATAATGCAACTATGACACACGGGGTTACAGAGAGTGAAAGAGAATAAGAAGACTTTATTGAGGAGTAAAGGCAAAGCAATAATGCAACTATGACACAAGGGGTTACAGAGAGTGAAAGAGAATAAGAAGACTTTATTGAGGAGTAAGGCAAAGCAATAATGCAACTATGACACAAGGGGTTACAGAGAGTGAAAGAGAATAAGAAGACTTTATTGAGGAGTAAGGCAAAGCAATAATGCAACTATGACACAAGGGGTTACAGAGAGTGAAAGAGAATAAGAAGACTTTATTGAGGAGTAAGGCAAAGCAATAATGCAACTATGACACAAGGGGTTACAGAGAGTGAAAGAGAATAAGAAGACTTTATTGAGGGTAAGGCAAAGCAATAATGCAACTATGACACAAGGGGTTACAGAGAGTGAAAGAGTAAGAAGACTTTATTGAGGAGTAAGGCAAAGCAATAATGCAACTATGACACAAGGGGTTACAGAGAGTGAAAGAGAATAAGAAGACTTTATTGAGGAGTAAGGCAAAGCAATAATGCAACTATGACACAAGGGGTTACAGAGAGTGAAAGAGAATAAGAAGACTTTATTGAGGAGTAAGGCAAAGCAATAATGCAACTATGACACAAGGGGTTACAGAGAGTGAAAGAGAATAAGAAGACTTTATTGAGGAGTAAGGCAAAAGCAATAATGCAACTATGACACAAGGGGTTGCAGAGAGTGAAAGAGAATAAGAAGACTTTATTGAGGAGTAAGGCAAAGCA